ACGAAAGTAGAAGCGGTATCTCAGTGGGAAGCGCCGAAGACTGTTTCGGAAATCAGAAGTTTTCTTGGTCTTGCAGGTTATTACAGAAAGTTTATCGAAGGATTCTCAAAGTTAGCATTGCCGTTGACGAAGTTGAATCGTAAAGGACAAGCGTTTATTTGGGATTCTGATTGTGAGAAAGGTTTCCAAGAATTGAAGCGGAGATTGACAAGTGCTCCTATTCTGATTTTGCCGAATCCGGTGGAATCTTTTGTGGTCTATTGTGATGCATCTCTGTTGGGATTAGGTGGTGTTTTAATGCAGAATCAGCAGGTAGTTGCGTATGCTTCGAGACAGTTGAAGGTTCATGAAAGGAACTATCCTACTCATGACTTAGAGTTGGCAGCAGTTGTGTTTGTCTTGAAATTGTGGAGACATTATCTGTATGGTTCGAGGTTTGAAGTGTATAGTGATCATAAGAGTTTGAAGTATCTTTTCGATCAGAAAGAGCTCAATATGAGGCAAAGAAGGTGGTTAGAATTCCTCAAAGATTATGATTTTGGTTTGAATTACCATCCTGGTAAGGCAAATGTAGTTGCAGATGCTTTGAGCAGGAAGTCCTTGCATATGTCTATGATGATGGTTCGTGAATTGGATTTAATTGAGCAATTCCGAGATTTGAGTTTGGTTTGTGAAAGTACTCCGAAGTGTGTTCGTTTGGGTATGTTGAAACTTACTAGTGGTATTCTAGAAGAGATCAGGATCGGGCAGAAATCCGATGTTAATTTAGTTGATAAATTGACATTGATCAACCAAGGTCAAGGTGGTGAGTTTAGGATTGATGAAAATGATGTTATGAGATTTGGCGATAGAGTTTGTGTTCCTGATGTCGCAGAAATCAAGAAAAGTATATTAGAGGAAGGACATCGCAGTGGGATGAGCATTCATCCGGGTGCCACGAAAATGTATCATGATTTGAAGAAATTGTTTTGGTGGCCGAGAATGAAAAAGGAAATAGCTGAATTTGTGTATGCATGTTTAATCTGTCAGAAATCGAAGATTGAGCATCAAAAGCCGTCTGGGTTTATGCAACCGATGTTTATTCCAGAATGGAAGTGGGATAGTATTTCTATGGATTTCGTATCTGGGTTGCCAAGGACTCCTATGAATTGTGAAGCGATATGGGTCGTTGTGGATAGGTTGACTAAGTCTGCTCATTTTATACCGGTGCGAATGGATTACTCGATGGAGAGATTGGCACAGTTGTATATTGAGAAAATAGTGAGTTTGCATGGAGTTCCTTCTAGTATTGTGTCAGATAGAGATCCGAGGTTCACTTCGAAATTTTGGGAAGGATTGCAGAAGGCTTTGGGTACTAAGTTGAGATTGAGTTCAGCTTACCATCCTCAGACTGATGGACAGACGGAGAGGACGATTCAATCGTTGGAAGATTTATTGCGTGCTTGTGTTTTAGAGAAAGGTGGAGCTTGGGATAGCTATTTTCCATTGATTGAGTTTACTTATAACAATAGTTACCATTCGAGTATTGGTATGGCTCCGTTTGAGGCATTGTATGGTAGACGGTGTAGGACGCCTTTGTGTTGGTATGAATCTGGAGAGAGTTCGGTAATTGGGCCAGAGATTGTTCAGCAGACTACCGAAAAGATCAAATTGATTCAAGAGAAGATGAGAGCTTCTCAGAGTCGTCAGAAAAGTTATCATGATAAGAGGAGAAAGAATTTAGAATTCAGTGCTGGAGATCATGTGTTTATGAGAGTTACTCCGATGACGGGTATTGGTCGGGCGTTGAAGTCTAAGAAGTTGACTCCGCGTTTTATTGGTCCGTTTCAGATTACGGAAAGAGTTGGAGAAGTTGCTTATCGCATTGCTTTACCTCCGAGACTTGCGAATTTGCACGATGTTTTTCATGTTTCTCAGTTGAGGAGATACATTCCAGACCCATCTCATGTAATCCAAATAGATGATGTACAGGTAAGAGATAACCTGACAGTAGAAGCATTGCCTATGAGGATAGAAGATCGGGAAGTGAAACAGTTAAGAGGTAAAGAGATAGCATTAGTGAAGGTTGCTTGGGGAGGTCCAGCAGATGGAAATATCACTTGGGAGCTGGAGAGCCAGATGAAAGAGGCTTATCCGGAGCTGTTCGTCTAAGGTATGTTTTCGAGGACGAAAACTCTTTTAGTGGGGGAGAGTTGTAACACCCCGTTTTCAATTAATTGATTTATTTAAATTTGGGAATTTATTTTATTAGAATTAATAAAATAAAAAGAATTATTTATTTTGGAGTATTTGAGGAAAATAAAAGAAATAAGGAATATTGGGATTTTTATGTTATTGGGCTTAGATGCTGTTAGTAAAGAGTGGGGGTGCAGAGAAATAAAGTTATGTTTGGGACTTAGGCCATTTTCTCATTTTTGGTTTTCACGTAAGAACAGAAGTTGGAATTTGGGAAAATAGAGCTCTGAAGAACGGAGAACGAAGAACATCGCTCAAGAACTCAAAGCTGCTAATTGATAAGGTAAGGGGGGTTTATACTCGATTTATATTTGTTTATGGGTTTATGTACGGTTGATTCGGGTAATCGTAGGAAATCCCAATTGTTAGATGTTTCTAGGGATCGATAACCTTAGGATTGAACTTTGTTAGAAAGGGTTTAAGTTCCCGATTTTATGAATCAATTAGAGACTTTAGGTTCCTATGATGGATTGGATGTCTTTGTACTATATTGCACCGCCGTAGAGAGGTATTTTCGTGCAAAAAAATGGGTATATGAGCTGCTGCAAAAACAGAAAAATTGGGTTCGCACTCATCAACACGGGCGCGTTGATTTACGCGGGCACCCGTGTTGATTCACTGTAATGCTGATGAAAATGTGTTTTCTGGCCATAATTCAACACGGGCGTGTTGATTAACACGGGCGCCCGTGTTGATTCACTGTGTTGGCATAAAAATGGGTTTTCTGGGCACAATTCAACACGGGCCGTGTTGATTTACACGGGCGCCCGTGTTGATCCCCTGTTTTGTCAAAAAAACGTGTTTTCTGGACACATTTCCACACGGGCAGTGTTGTTTTACACGGGCACCCGTGTTAAACCTCCTGTGTTGGTTTTTAAACTATGTTTTCCGTGCATGTTGTTAAGTACGGATTGATCCGGTTGTGATGTGCAGTGTTTGACATGTTTTGAATATGTGTTTATTGAATTCCTAGTGTTGATTGATGTGTGTATCGAATAACGATTGTATGTTATGATACCAACACTATGTGGATCTTATTGTCATGCTTTTAGATGATGTTATCAAGCATGAATTATGATATAACTTGATATGATTGATGTTTAATAGTATGCTGAGTGGTTACATGCTATTCCTATCATGTTATGTTTGATATTGTTGATGTGCATGATATGTTGATTGATGTTCATAGTATGCTGAGTGTTACATACTTACATATCATGTTGCATTTGTTAATTCCCATTGTGTGGAATTAACATGGTGGCCAATATACGTGTCCGCGATATAATGGAACGTTGAGGTGGTAGCCGTGTCCGCGATATAATGGAACGGTGAGTTATCCGTGACCCGCGATTTAATGGGGCGGTGAAGTGGTACCACATGCATGGGTGTGTTGCATTACTCGAATATAACATGAATGGATGATTTTTCCAATGTTATATTTGATTGTTTGTATGCACGTATGATTTGATAAATGGTTGATGATGTTTGATGAATATTTGCAAATATGAAAGGCAATATGTCATGGATATATGAATTGTAAAGGTTTTGTAAACTATGAAATATGCTAATTATTAGGTGATGCTTATGATTTCGTGAATTGATTGTTATGAATGTATAACCAAATGTATATTTGAGAAGCTCACCCTTACTGTTGAATATTTCAGATTGAGGAGCTTCGCTCAGGTGCTTGGCGAAGGCTTATCGTGTCTAGTTTAGTTTCGTTTTAGTATGTCCGGGTCATGCTCTGATAGTTGTAACTCCGGGAACGTTTGGTTGTCGAGCTGCTTTAGTCAGACTCGTTTATTTTCTTTTAATTGTTATAATATGACGTTGACTTTCCAGGTGTTAATCCCTGATGATTTTGGAAAATATTATAACATTTGATTTTATTAAATAAATTATTCCGCTGTGTAGACATGTATGAGTTACCACTAAAATTATGCATGACAGGAATTTATTTTATTAAAAGAGAATTGTAGCATTCCTCGATTATTACATGTACTCTGAGTTTATAATTTTTAATATTTGCGAAAATTATATGCGGGGTTTTAGAGGGTGTTACAAGAGGTCCCACTTTAATGACACAAATTGACAAAGTTCATCAAACAGGTGAAAAGATAAAGGTCGAGTTTAATGCAAGAACCTATGAATGTATTGGTGTTGGTAAAAATGCTACAAATTTCAAGAGTTATATAGCATCTCTTGCTCGACAGTATTGTAGCATTGTGAAAAATGATTGGAAAGAAGTAGATGAAGGCGTAAAAGATGCTATTTGGACTGATATTCAGGTATTTTAAATACAATACTTTATTATATTTTATAATCATATACTAATTAACAACATATGACATATACTACATTTGTAGGCTCATTTTACTATTCCAGAATGTAAAGATCCAAAGAATGATAGGTTGAAGAAAGAATGGATTAAATATGCGGGAGAGCGATGGAGAGGTTTTAAGACACAACTCACAGATAGATATATTCATCATCCCATAGAAAATGATCCTCCTCCATATGTCAAGTATAACTTTATTACAGAAGACGCCTGGAAAGAGTTTCTCAAGATTCGAGATACCCCTGAATTTAAGGTTAGTAGGAGTTATATATTTTTGTGTGCATAACATTTTTATTATATTTAGTGATTAATTATTTGTTTGAGTTTATAATAGGAAAAAAGTCAGAAGGGTAAGGATAATGTGGCCAAGAATTTATACCCACATGTATTGTCTCGTGGAGGGTATCGCTTACTTGAGGAGAAAATTATGAAAGAAAAGTCATCATCGAGAGATAATTCCACATTAGATGATAATGATAGTCAATCTCCACCATCACGCCATGAGTTATGGAAGAGAGCACGACAAAAGAAAGGAGGAGAATACACATCAAAATCTACACAAGAGGTTGCCCAAAAAATTGTAAGTAAACAACGAAAAATTATTACAAAGTATAATTATATTTGTGATTGATTAATTGATGTTTTTGCATTTTGTAGGATTCTCTTGTTCAAGAAGCTGAAAAAGGTGCAATTGTTCCAGATGGACGTAACGATATCTTATCATTAGCCATTGGAACATCTGAGCATGGAGGTCGTGTCCGTGGTGTTGGAAAACACCATAAACAAAGCACTTACTTTGGAAGAAAAAGTCAACATATCGACGTAAATGAACAACTTGCAATATTGGAAACAAAACTTAGAGCTGAACTTGAAGAAAAGTTGGTTGAAGAGCGTAAGATGTTTCAGCAATCATTAATGGAGACACTTAAGTCTATGGGTTTATCACAAAGCACAGGTGATATTAAATGCATTCAAAAATTGGAAATTATTGATGGAAGCGGAAAAGGAAGTTGTTCAGCTGCAAAGGGAAGCACAAAAGAGAGCACAAAAGACGTGGAAGTTGATGATGTTCAGAGATTGTTACTCATGGTTTTGAAATTGGATGATAACCATTTGGCAATACAATTAAGTCATTGTGCGAGTGTCTCTAATTTTTATGTTTCAGCTAAATGTATCAGAGAGTTATTGGTGGATTTAGGTCATTGGCTTGACGTGTCTATTCTTCAAATTTGGTGCACGTAAGTAAATTTTATTGTTTTATTAAAGTCAATCTCTATTAATATGTTATATCTCTCATCACTTTGATTCTAATGTTAATTTTAAAACTATTCAGGTATATTCATCGTGTTTGTCTTGAGAATTCCGTTTCAGAATTATATGGATTTATGGACCCTGCTAGGTGTATTTATAATGATAATGTAGCGAAATCTCAAGAAGATGTTAAAAATTACGTGCTAGAAAAGTTACGTGATGAAAACAGAGCGTGCCACTTACTACCATTAATTCATGGGTAAGAATTTTTATGAAATTGTGTTTTATGTTATTTAATTTTGATTTTGATAACATATATATTTTATGCGACTTTTCTGTTTCCACACACACGTACAGGAGACATTGGCAATTAATAGTCATGTGTCCAAGAGACAATTTAGTTGTCGTATTTTGTTCACTTCATCGGGAAATTGACCAGAACACGAAGAAAATTATTACAAAGTAAGTTTATCTTTCATATGACTTTCATTGACAACTAATAGTTATGTGATTTTTCATTGGCGAGTATATTTAGTTATGTGATGTTTATATCTTTCTGTATTAGTTCTTTTGGGATTCATCAAATGGCAAATGGAAATAGAAAAAAGGCTACATGGCTTCATCCCAATGTAAGTGATGTAAATTATAATTCTATAGTTAAATATATACGATAAATATTCACTAATTATGTCATTCAATTGTAGACAAGGCAACAACATAACTCTAATGATTGTGGATACTATGTGATGAAAAATATGTTGGATATTGTCTCTGCTAATATAACCGAGAATTGGATGCAGGTACTAAAAATAACTTTACTTTGTTCTTTACTTTTTGTTTTTCGACTTAATATGAATTTTTAAAAAAAACTCTATATTGTTATATTTATGTATTATAGGTATTTGATGACCCAACAGAATTAACACCAGATGATTTGTATGATTTGCGACTTCGTTGGGCAAAATGTTTCTTTGACTTACATGGAACTTAAGTTTAGCTGGTGAGTTTTATAGAATTGTATAAGTTGTGGTTTTTGCACAATATACATGTGGTTTTTGCTCATGTGTTGAGTTTCTTGATTTTTTTGCTGATGTTAATTGTTATTATTTATTGTCAGGCAATATGATTTTGGTGTTGTCTACCGAAGATTTTATATTGGTAATTCAAGTTTGGAAACTTAGAAATAGTTGAATATTTTAGTATATGTATATTTTGTGAATATTATGTAATTGTAAGTTTTGAAAAAGACTTATAAATAGTTGAATATTGTTTTATATTTTGTTAAGAATTTGTAATTGTAAGTTTGTATGTTGTAATACAATACAAGTTTGCAATACAAGTTTGTAATTGTAAGTTTGTTCAATTTGTAAGTTTGTTGTGAAAAATATGAAAACATCGTCCTAAATGTGATGTTGGAAAGCTATGAAATCTATATAGCGACATAAATATAGTCTGTTTGATATTGGAAAAATATGAAAAAATGGGTACAAATTATATTTGTATAGGGAAACCCAGAAAATAAATAATCTATTCCAAAAAAATTTCATACATTTTACATCGGTTATTAGTAAAACTGATGTAAAAACTTTCAATAAGGGACTTTTTACATCGGTTGGAAGTAATACCCGATGTAAAAAGTCGCGTCACTGGGGACTTTTTACATCGGGTATTACTTCCAACCGATGTAAAAAACTGGATCAATTTTTAAAAAAATTGTGCATAATAATTGTTTTTTACATCGGTTCATATATTATAACCGATGTAAAAAGGGTACTTTTTACATCGGGTATTACTTCCAACCAATGTAAAAAACTGGATCAATTTTTTAAAAAATGTGCATAATAACAGGTTATTACATCGGTTCTGATATTATAACCGATGTAAAAAAGGGACTTTTTACATCGGTCCCAGAACCGATGTAAAAAGTCCCTGATTTACTATATCACCTGACTTTACATCGGATCCAAAACCGATGTAAAAAGTCAATTTTACCCGATGTAAAAAGTCATTTCTGCACTAGTGTAATTATAAGGAGAACCAGTATAATTCTTGTGTTTTCTTTACTTGTATGCCTTTATAATTCTACACTTGACATTAATCTTACAATATCACTCAATCACTTGCTTCTGATAAAATTATAAATTAAAAAATATCGCATAAAATCAAGAAAAATACAATAATATTAGTTCACCTCCCTCTTAAATTTTCTCTCATAGTTACAATGTGTATTCTGTACTCTGTTTTTATATTTTGTTAAAGACGCTTTGAAATTTTTTTTATAGCTCATTAATTAATTAACTATTTTCATATAAATGTATTAAACCAATATACTTATGTAATTTCATATTCTTCCTATTTTGGTCCCTCTTATTAAAGAGAATAATTGAAAAGGAGGACAGGTGCACAGGATAAACAACACCATTGAGTCTTAGGACTTGCTAAATCTCATCAAGTGGTTCAAGAAGAAGGGTTGAACCATCATGTGAGTTTCAAAGGTAAACTTTTTTCTTCTTTTGAACTTTCTCTTTTTTTAGCTTTCTTGAAATTCAACATTCTCAAGAGTTCTTGTTGCTTTAACTTTCAGCCCATATTTCCTCTAGTGAATTTATTTATGGTGAGTTTATCTACTTATTTTCTAGTATTTTTGTGGATTCTTTCACTTTCTTCATATTTTTCCAATTATCAGTGATTTTCTTCTTGCTTTCCTTTTTTATAATGACTATTCAAGGAGATTGGATATTTTAGGTTTTTTGAGTAATGTTTTGTTGGGACTTAGAATCTGAGATTTAAGCATATGATTTTGTTTTTTCGGAAACTCTGAATTTGTATGGTTAGAACATGTCATTTGTTGGAAGCTCTGAATACGTCATGTTTTGAGCATGTGGTTAGTTAGAAGCTTTAAATTTGTAAGGTTTTAATATATGGTTTGCTAAAAGCTCTAAATACGTAAGGTTTTGAGCATATGGTTTATAAGAAGCTTCAAATTTATAGGTTTTGAATATGGTTTATTGGAAGCTCTAAACATGTAAGGCTTTAGTTTCTTAAGGTGGACTCGAAATGGGTTCCTGATTCCAGACATCTTGATACTAATATGGCCAAACTAGCGATCTTAGAATATGATTATCGGTGTTCTTTGAGAGTTCTTACATATTTATTAAAGAAATTGTGTCAATAATAAATTGATATTTTACTTGTTTTCACGTTACTGAACTAAAGCACGTCCTCGTACTAAAGCACGCTTCTACACTCCAATTAAGTGGGTCATGATAATAAATAAAATTGCAAGAATATAGTTGATTTGTTTTAAATGTGGGACCCATTTTAAATTTTTTGATGAGTTACATATATATTTGAGAATTGTAGATTAGTTGTTTAAAAAATTGAGAAGTGTGAAATAATATAAAAAATTATGTGGGTCTCATTTAAAGAACCCAAATGGGTATGATGGATGTAGATGCTCTTAGCTTATCACTTGCTTGCTCCAAATGGTACTTAAAATTTAAATGAGGCGCAACTCAATGATGAATTGGAATGAGTTAGATCTAAAACTCAAAAAGATACTAAGATCCTCATTTGGCACTAATTAAAACTTGATGAAGCCAATAAATTTTTTTATAAGGAGCTTCATTTTTCCCTCGATGGTTTGGAGAAGGTTATTGGAAACCACTAATTCATTTAAAAATATCTTCGAGATCAAATCCAAATCGTGTAGGAGGTGTAGTGTAACGCCCATAATTTAATTAGTTATTTAATCGAATTATTTTTGAAATATTTGTGAAGATTTGTTATGATTAATTGGATTTATTTTATTAAGTGGAGAAATAATATTAAAAGTATAATATTATTTGGTGTGGGCTTATTTTGAAGGAATAGAAGTAATAAGGGGGTGTATTAGTATTGAGCCCATTAAGGAATAAAGAATAATAGGGTTATTTTATTGTTGTTAGAAATAATAGAAAGAAAGAAGCAGTAGAAAAATAAGGATTGAGAAGAGAACGTGAAGCTGTTGGAAATAGAGGAAAAACGGCAGAACGAGAATTCAACCGGAAAATTATAGAGCGACCTTCAATTCAAGGTAAGGGTGGGGTTCTGACTTTATAATTGGGTTCATGATGATTGATATGTGGGTTTAGAGGTGATTGTTGTCTTGTTCTTGAATTGAATGTATATGATGATGAATGATGAAAAATTGATGGATGTTAGATGAATAATGATGTCCCGATGTTGCTTAATTGATGTAGAATCATAGGATAACTATATGTAGTGATTTATCATGATTATATTAAGTTTGTAGGGCTTAAAACATGAATCCCATAGTGATTTGCAGAGAAGAATTGTGAATTTATGTAGGAAGGATTAAGATGTGTCAACCTCAAACATGATGTGTCGATACATGAGGGCTTAGAGACTCAGGATGAGTCGACACGAAGAGACTTGCATCGATGCATGAAGGTTGAAAGACTCAGGATGAGTCGATCTGTAGGATGTATGTGTCGATATATGCTGTGTGCAAGACTCAGGATGAGCCGATCCATGAGAGGATGCGTCAACTCATGTTATGCAGTTAGAGCAGTATGCGTCGACCCATGTTGTCTGATTTTTTGAAAGATTCAGTTTTAAAGTGCTGTAATTTGAGTTTTAGGATATCGTTTGAGATGTCGTTCGAAGCGTTAAATAGCTAACACGATGAAATTCATTCTAGAGGATCAAAATGAAGAGTTGGAAGTGTAGTCCTAGTAGCCAATTTAGGATTTAGATTTAATTCCCATGTTGATCATTGCGTTGGTTTTGTACAGAATGATGAAGATGAGATGCCTAGAGGCTGCTGTTTGAATTATAACAATAGGATTAGTGACAGTAATGATGTAAGGATTACAGAATAACAATATGAATTATTGTAGTATTAATGTACAGATGAGTTGTTGATGAGAAGTTATTAATGATGTTGTGTTGATAATTTGTAATAAATAAATGATGTTTGATGAATTATTATGATGATATGAGATGTGATGATGAGACGTTGAGATGATTTTGAGATGTAGGCCTTTGGCCAATGATGGTGTTGCATTGAGGTGTTGTTAATTGTGGTGTTGTTATTACATTCATGATTGTGTCGCATATGTTCCATTTTTGAGTTGGAGCTTATGCTCGTTGAGATGGCTTGTATTGGCGAATTTTGAGATAAAGGCTATGCCTTGTTAATGGCTCTATTAATTGACAAATTTTTGAGATGAGAGTTCTACTCCAATGGTACCACATGCATTTGCGTAGTATTGAGTCGCATTATATGGTTGCATAATGAAGTGTGTAATGATGTTGTGAGGTGTATTATCGTTGTGATTATTATTGATTATGAGATGAGAAGTGGTGATGTTATTGATCTAATTTAATATATTAATTATCATGCACTTTATTATATTGTTAGATATCTCACCCCTTTTGTTTGAATGTTGCCCTTATGTTGGTAATGTGCAGGTAATCGAGAGTGAAGGCTGTATACCTTCGGTAGTTCGAGTCGGTGTCATTGCTCTGATATGTAACACTCGGGGGGGATGAACGCTTGCTGTTTTTGATTGTTGATTTTTAGTTGTTGAACTTTAAGTTGATTATTATTAAATATGTGTTATTTTGAAGTTGTTGTAACGATGATAAAGATGTTATAAGAATTCCGCTGCGTAGATGTTGAGTTATTTATTTAAAGATGTTATGATGATGATTCATCCGATGTTTTAAAAGTGTTATATATCCACGATGAATGCAATGAATTTTGATAGAAGAATTTGTGACGTCCCGATTCGTTTGCATGAATGATTTTTATAACTCTGATTTATTTATATAATTGTTTGGGGTAGAATTGGGGTGTTACAAAGTTGGTATCAGAGCAAAAGGTTGGTCCGACCTTGTCGTCGAGTCTTAGTTGTTTAACAATCGAGTATTGTTAATTTGAGTTCTAATTGTTGTTTATGTTGTAGTGAGAAGTTGAGATGGTTGGAAGGAATGATGTTGCACTTGTTGCTGCGTTAGAAGTAATGGCTCATGCGATGGAAAATCAGCCGAATGCTGACGGGAATGTTGGATCTCGTAGCTTGGCGACTTTCAAGAGAGAGAATCCACATACGTTCAAGGGAAAGTATGATCCTGACGGAGCATTGGAGTGGTTGAAAGAGATTGAGAGAATCTTTTGTGTGATGGACTGCACTCCAGCGCAGAAGGTTCGTTATGGGACTCATATGCTAGCAGTCGAGGCTGATGACTGGTGGCTAGAGACTTGTCAGAAGTTGGAAGCTGCAGGTGAGAATGTCACTTGGGCTGTGTTCCGTAGGGAATTTTTGAGAAAGTACTTCCCTAAAGATATCTGTGGTAAGAAGGAGATTGAGTTTCTTGAGTTGAAGCAAGGAAGTATGTCAGTTGTTGAGTATGCTTCAAAGTTTTCCGAGTTGGCTAAGTTTTATCCGCACTACGCTAGGGCAGATGCTGAATTTTCGAAGTGTATTAAGTTTGAGAACGAGTTGCGCCCGGAGATTAAGAAGGAAGTTGGATACCAGAAGTTCCGTGTCTTTGCTGATTTGGTTGATAGTTGCGGGATTTATGAGGAGGACAATAATACTCATTACAAGATTATCAGTGAAAAGAGGGGTAAGCACAAACGGAATCGTGGTAAGCCTTATGATACCCTAGTTGGTAAAGGTAAACAGGAAGTTGCTCAGAGTCAGAGGACTAGTGGGGGAGATGCTCCTACTGGTGTGGTTTTCTTTAAGTGTGGAAAATATGGACACAAGAGTAATGTGTGCACTACTGAAGTGAAGAGGTGTTTTCGTTGTGCTAAGAACAGACATGTTGTATCTGAGTGTGAACATAAGGATGTGATTTGTTTCAATTGTAAAGAAGAAGGGAATATTGGTAGTCAGTGTCCGAAACCGAAGAGGGCTCAGTCAAGTGGAAAGGTGTTTGCTTTAGTGGAGGATCAGACAGCTACTGAGGACAGACTTATCAGAGGTACATGTTTCATTAATAGTACTCCTTTAATTACTATTATTGATACTGGCGCTACGCCTTGTTTTATTGCTGCTAATTTTGTTGAAAGATTGGGTCTTATGCTGTCTTATTTGAATGGAGAAATGGTCGTCAATACTCCAGCCAAGGGGTCGATGACTACTTCTTTTGTGTGTTTGAAGTGTCCGTTGTCGATCTTCGACAGAGACTTTGTTATTGATTTAGTTTGTTTACTGTTAAGAGGTTTGGATGTGATTTTGGGTATGAACTGGTTAGAGCATAATTGTGTTCATATTAACTGTTATGACAAGTCTGTGAAGTTTTCTACTCCTGAAGAAGAGGAAGGTGGACTGTTATCCGCTAGACAATTGAGGAAATTGATGCAAGAAGAAGTACAAATGTTCTCGTTAATGGCGTCGCTATCTGTAGAAACTCAAGCTGTAATTGAGGAATTACAGGTGGTGTGTGAATTTCCTGAAGTTATCCCTGATGAGATTCCTGATGTACCGTCGGAGAGGGAAGTTGAATTTGCAATTGATCTTGTACCTGGTACAAGACCCGTGTCTATGGCACCATACATGATGTCTGCATCTGAATTTTCTGAGTTAAAGAAGCAATTGGAAGATTTACTTGCGAAGAAGTTTGTAAGACCAAGTGTATCGCCGCGGGGAGCTCCAGTGTTGTTAGTAAAGAAGAAAGATGGAAGTATGAGGCTTTGTGTTGATTATAGCCAGCTGAATAAAGTGACGATTAAGAACAAGTATCCGCTTCCAAGAATAGATGACTTGATGAATCAATTGGTGGATGCTCGTGTATTTAGTAATATTGATTTGAGGTCGGGTTACCATCAAATTAGAGTGAAGGATGAAGATATTCAAAAGACGACTTTCAGAACGCGCTATGGACATTACGAGTATTCGGTGATGCCTTTCGGTGTTACTAATGCACCGGGAGTATTCATGGAATATATGAATCGTATTTTTCATACTTTTTTGGATCGATTTGTAGTGGTGTTCATTGATGATATTTTGATTTACTCTAAGTCAGAAGAAGAGCATGCAGAACACTTAAGAGTAGTATTGCAAGTTTTGAAAGAGAAGAAGTTGTATGCAGAGTTGTCCAAGTGTGAATTCTGGTTGAAAGAGGTTAGTTTTCTTGGTCATGTGATTTCAGGTAGTGGCATTGTTGTAGATCTATCGAAGGTTGATGTCGTGCTGCAATGGGAGACTCCAAAGTCAGCTATCGAGATTAGAAGCTTCTTGGGATTAGCTGGTTATTATAGAAGGTTTATCGAAGGGTTTTCCAAGTTGTCACTTCTGTTGACTAAGTTGACTTGTAAAGGTAGAGTGTTTGTATGGGATGTTCAGTGCGAAGAAAGTTTTACAGAATTGAAGAAGAGGTTAACATCGGCTCCGATTTTGACGTTGCCTAATCCCGGAGAGCCTTTTGTGGTTTATTGTGATACTTCTAAGATGGGTTTAGGAGGTGTGCTTATGCAGAATGGTAAAGTAGTTGCTTATGCGTCAAGGCAGTTGAGGACTCATGAGAAGAACTATCCTACGCATGATTTAGAGCTTGTTGCAGTTGTTTTTGTGTTGAAGATTTGGAGGCATTATCTTTATGGTTCTAGATTTGAAGTGTTTAGTGACCATAAGAGCTTAAAGTATTTATTTGTTCAGAAGGAGTTGAATATGAGGCAACGAAGATGGTTGGAATTGTTAAAGGATTATGATTTCAGTTTGAATTATCATCCAGGAAAAGCGAATGTGGTAGCTGACGTGTTGAGTCGAAAGACTTTACATATGTCAGCAATGATGATTAAAGAGTTGGAGTTAATTGAGCAGTTCAGAGATATGAGCTTAGTTTGCGAGGTTACACCGCAGAGTGTTATGTTGGGTATGTTGAAGATTAATAATGAATTTCTAGACAATATCAGAGAAGCTCAGAAGTTGGATGTGAAACTGGTAGATTTGATGGTTGGGATTGATCAGTCTGAGAACAATGATTTTAAGCTAGATGCGCAAAGTGTGTTGAGATTTTGTAACCGGATTTGTATTCCTGATAATGTTGAGATGAAGAAAGTGATACTTGAGGAGAGTCACAGAAGTAAGTTGAGTATTCATCCAGGAGCTACGAAGATGTATCAAGATTTGAAAGGTTTGTTTTGGTGGCCTGTAATGAAGAGTGATGTGCCTCCGTTTGTGTATGCATGTTTGACTTGCCAGAAGTCGAAAGTTGAACATCAAAAGCCTGCAGGATTGATGCAACCATTGGAAGTTCCATAATGGAAATGGGATAGAATTTCAATGGACTTTGTGACAGGGTTACCTAATACTACAAGAGGACATGATTCAATTTGGGTGATTGTTGATAGGCTTACGAAGTCGGCTCATTTTATTCCTATTAACATCAGTTTTCCAGTGTCAAAGTTGGCTGAGATTTATATTAGTGTGATTATGAAGCTGCATGGTGTTCCTTTGTGCATTGTGTCAGATAGAGATCCAAGATTTACTTCTGATTTTTGGAAAAGTTTGAAAGAAGCGTTGGGTTCTAAGTTGAGGTTAAGTTCAGCGTATCATCCTCAGACAAATGGTCAGACTGAACGGACTATTCAATCGTTGGAAGATTTGCTGAGGGCATGTGTTCTTGATCAGGGAGGTTTGTGGGATACTTATCTTCCGTTGATAGAGTTCACTTATAATAACAATTCCCATTCTAGTATTGGGATGACACCTTTTGAGGCGTTGTATGGTCGAATATGTAGAACTCCGTTATGTTGGCATGAATCTGGTGAAAGTGTAGTACTTGGACCTGAACTTGTTTATGAGACTACTGAGAAGGTGAAGTTGATTCGAGAAAAGATGAAAACTTCCCAAAGTAGACAGAAGATTTATCATGACAAGCGAAGGAAGGATTTAGAATTTCAAGCTGGTTACCATGTGTTTTTAAGAGTTACACCTGTGACAGGTGTTGGGCCAACATTGAAGTCTAAGAAGCTCACTTCTCGTTTTATTGGACCGTATCAGATTTCGGAGAGAGTGGGGAATTTTGCTTATAGAGTGGCTTTACCGCCTAATCTTTTGAATTTGCATGATGTGTTTCATATGTCGCAACTTCGGAAGTATGTTTTAGATCCATCTCACGTGATTCATATGGATGATGTGTAAGTACGGGATAATCTTACGGTGGAGATGATGCCTGTACGGATCACGAATCGTGAAATGGAGACTCTGAGGGGCGAAGAGATTGCCTTGGTTAAAGTGGTTTAGCTAGGAGCTGCCGGTGAAAGCATGATTTGGGCGTTGGAGAGCAAGATGCAAGACTCCTACCCTGAGTTGTTTGATTAAGGTAAATTTTCGAGGACGAAAATATTCTAAGTGGGGGAGAGTTGTAACGCCCGTAATTTAATTAATTATTTAATTGAATTATTTTTGGAATATTTGTGAAGATGTGTTATGATTAATTGGATTTATTTTATTTAGTGGAGAAATAATAT